GCGCTCGCATCACGATCGGTACCAGACGCTGCGGTGGAGTATCTTTAAGCACCGGGACGTGAGCGCTCGCATCACGATCGATACCAGACGCTGTAGCAGAGTTATCTTTGAGCGCCGGGACGTGAGCGCTCGCATCACGATCAACCGGACGCTGCCTGGGACGTGAGCGCTCGCATCACGATCGGTACCAGACGCTGTAGCAGAGTTATCTTTAGAAGTGCGTGCCGCCACCAGAAATCCTATTGGTTCACTTACTTTGCTTTGTATTGCTTTGCTGGGAGCTTACGAAGAAGCCAGTAGCCGTTGTGCAGCCAGGATGGCGGACGCGTCTGGCCTGATGTAGGCGGAGAAAGCTGAAGAGGACCAGCACCCCAGCTGTTGCAGAAAGGTGTGGGGGAGCCCCAGCGAGGTCGCGCGCGTGGCGGCGCCTATCCTGAAGGAGTGGGCTGTGTAGAGCTGGGGAGACAATTTACAGAGGAAGAGTAGGGATCTTAGTTGAGCTCTGAACCAGGTTGCTGTCATGGGAAGAATGTCTGGAGTGAGAAAGACAGGTCCGTTAAAATCTCCTTTTTGCAACGGAGGCGAGTGTAACGCATCATGGATTTGTAGGGGTAGAGAGATGTGTCCGAGCGAGCTATTACTATATTGCAGGCTCCTTTGATTTTTGAATGTTTGAGACGGAGGTTGAAATGGTCAGGGGACATTATGTTGGGTGAAAAAGAGCGACCTTTGTTTAATGCTTCCACTACGTCGAGATTATCACACATGACAGAGATCCTCTTTCTCTGCCACGTGTGATTCCACGGCGCGCAGGCCACGACCACTGGGAATATCTCGTGTAGGGTAGAGGAAATGCTCCGGTGGAAAGTAGTGGCCACGCTCGGCAAACCAATGGTCCTGGAATAATCCCCCAAAACCCACGGAAGGGGCAGCGTCCGTGTAGAAGCGGAGACCTGTAGGGGCAGAGACATGTCGGAGAGGGCCATTGATGTTGCAGGCGCCCTTAGGCTTAGAATCTTGGGTTGGAGAGTAGATAATCAGGATAGTAGGATGGTCGGGAAAGCCGTGTCTCGGACCGCATGAAGGTTGAGTGAGCAATGGTGAGACGCTTATGCAGAGAAGCCATAGAAGGCGAGCAGGAAGATGCTGCGAGGAGGGCAGACATGTACTTGGAAGATGAGCCGGAGTTCAGCGCCGCTGCAGGATGGGCAGCATGATGGGGAGCCTGCGATCAGAAGAGTGAAGAATACAGGTATGGATGCCTTTGATTAGGAGTCCGATTGACGGCTCAGCGCAGCTACTCGGCCAGCTGCATCTGATGGATCAGAAGATTAAGTAGAGAGATGAAGCACGACCGCCGAAGCGACCCTGGGAGCATAGGTGCGAGTCCGGCGCAGCGCGGCATACTCAGCCGGGCTGCATCCATTAGAAGCGGGATAAGCTTCTGAGAGAGTGGGTTGCAGCAGTAGCAGTAGCAGCAGCGGCAGCAGCAGTAACCTCAGATAATAACAGCAATAGTCCTGTATCAAGCCGCGGCAACCGCAGTAGCAGCAGCAGCAGCAGCAGCGTCCTTAGAAAATAACAGTAATAATTCTGTATCAAAGCCACAGCAGTAGAATGTTGTTGTAGTTGTTCAGGGTTTCAGTAAAAGAGATGCAAGTGAAGAGAGATGGCAAGGTAAATGAAGCAGCAGCAGCAGTAGTAGCAGCAGTAGCCGTATGAAGCAGCAGCAGTAGCAGTATGAAGCAGCAGCAGCAGCAGCAGTATGAAGCAGCAGCAGCATCCGTAGATAATAACAGCAATAATCCTGTATCAAAGCCAGAGCAGTAGAATATTGTTGTAGCTGTTTAGTGTTTCAGTACAAGAGATGCGAAGTGAAGAGAGATGTCAAAGTACATGAAGCAGCAGCAACAGCGGCAGCAGTAGCAGCAGCAGTAACGGTAGCAGTATGAAGCAGCAGAAGCAGCATTAGCAGGAGCAGCAGTAGCAGTAGGAAGCAGCAGCAGTAGCAGCAGTAGCAGTATGAAGCAGCAGCAGCAGCAGCGGTTGCAGCATCCGTAGATAATAACAGCAATAATCCTGTATCAAAGCCAGAGCAGTAGAATATTGTTGTAGCTGTTTAGTATTTCAGTAAAAGAGATGCGAAGTGAAGAGAGATGTCAAAGTACATGAAGCAGCAGCAACAGCGGCAGCAGTAGCAGCAGCAGTAACGGTAGCAGTATGAAGCAGCAGAAGCAGCATTAGCAGGAGCAGCAGTAGCAGTAGGAAGCAGCAGCAGTAGCAGCAGTAGCAGTATGAAGCAGCAGCAGCAGCAGCGGTTGCAGCATCCGTAGATAATAACAGCAATAATCCTGTATCAAAGCCACCGCAGTAGAATATTGTTGAAGCTGTTTAGTGTTTCAGTAAAAGAGATGCGAAGTGAAGAGAGGTGTCAAAGTAAAGAAGCAGCAGCAGCACGGCAGCAGTAGCAGTATGAAGCAGCAGCGGCAGCAATAGCAGCATTAGCGGCAGCAGTAGCAGCAGTAGCGGTAGCAGTATGAAGCAGCAGCGGCAGCAATAGCAGCAGTAGCGGTAGCAGTATGAAGCAGCAGAAGCAGCATTAGCAGCAGCAGCAGCACAATGCGATTCATACGAACAACAGACGTGTCACGCCAGCGTGCGCCGCTTGTCTCCGTGAGCCAGGTTACATACGTGACTGAAAGAGCCGAGCCGTAGAGACAGGTGCAGCCTGGGAGCCCGCGGCGCGGCAGCGGCAGGAACAGCAGCAGCGGCACATGTAGTAGGAGCAGCAGGAGCAGGCAGCAGGGACAGGCAGCAGCAGGAGCGGCAGCAGGAACAGGCAGCAGCGGGAACAGGCATCAGCGGGATCAGGCATCAGTAGGAACGGCAGCAGGGACCGCAGCAGCGGCGGTCAGAGAACCATGCCCATGGTTGTTTAAGAGCCTGAGGAAATAAATCAACCCGAATCCGAAACATTCCCATGCGAAAAACAGATGTCCCCTGGAGCCATCTTGCTGCTTTGGTTATGGTAGATACGCATGAACCATCACTTTTCCATGCGTTCATTAGCTCCAACTCCACTTCAAACCCATTGCAGATTCACATTGGACCCCTTTTCTTTCTGCTGCACTTTCGAAATGCAACAACTGCAGTTTAGTTACCCAATTTAATACTAGTGACCTAGCTATTTAAATGCATGGCCCCTCCTTCCTCCTGCAGATAGACGAATTTAAATACATTCATTTAACAATAGTGACCTGCGAGTAATGAGATTAATGCTGTAAAGATGGCGCCGTGGCAAGAGTTCTGGTGTGTGCCGTCTGGAGCACGATGGGGTAGACTTTGCACATTTTTTCCAACGTGGTTTTACTGCAAGTGGCAGAACATGAATCTGAATTAATGCACATTGCTCCTCTTATATCCCTCAGACATTGGAGATTGATGCCATTTAAGATGCATTGTCCCTCAGATAGCTCAAACACGTGTAAAACGGAGCCTGCAGACCAAGCACGGGGCGAAAACTGACGCCTGCAGTCAAGTGCGTAGGGCAAAAACCAGCCGCCTGCAGCCTAGACTCCGGGATTAAACTGTCCGCGGTCGGCACACTCACTGTACTCACATGCCAGGAGACTTGGGAAAGCAACGGGACAACGCTGCACCGCCAATCGGAGGCAGGGACACGCACGGCACCGCCAGACCGTCTGCGCGCGGCAGCAGACCACGAGGAAAGCACAGAACCTGCAGAGGGGCCCCGCGGAGGGGCCCCGCGGAGCAGCCCGCAGAAGAGGAAAGCAGTGGAGACACGCAAACCACAGCAGGTGCAGGGACGCGGAGGAGGAGCAGACCACGAGCAGCCAGACTGAGGACAGCCGGGCCACGCGCACGAGCAACACGTGAGCAGAAGCGACCCCTCCAGAACAACGCATGCATTTGCGAACAGGTGCGTTAGCGACATGCACCTTGCAGGCTTCAGAAGTTTGCAAACTTCAGAAGGCCGGGAAGTGGGCGTCTCCGGCTTTTAACTTGCTGTCCTGGTGGTTATTGGTGGATTGGATGTGGGCGTTTTGCTGGTGTAATGAGTAGAGGATGAGCAGGCTTGTAGCAGCGGCCGGGTCTACCATAGTGAACTTTCGCGAAGAGCTTCATTAAAATGATGATTGAGCGGAGTGTAAGGAAGAATAAGGCCAGGGTAGGTTTTGGTACCTGTAAGTACTAGTGTTGGGGTATCACGATATTTTACAAACTTCAGTTAATGCACAGACCATAATAAGTCTTATTTTCCTCATTTTATTAATGACTTTGAATATTAGATTCCCAACATATCACATAAAACATTTTACATATTGCAATACTATCAAAAAGTCAATTTTTTGCCAATTCCCGCCTCTAGTAAATTCTCTCGTTAAAAGCGAATTGTAACTGTTTTTATTTGACATTTTATCCTCAGACGTACAATTGGCCACCAAAAGTCGCCCCGCTTTGACCGAGAGCTTCCAGATCTATTTCCACCCTCTGATGTTGTGTCTGGACGAGGCCACAAGACGCTACAAAGGCAAGAAATTGTCAGAGCAGGACAAGCAGACAACATGAATTATTTCAAGTGATATGTTAGCGGAGCACTGCGCACATGCCCTTTAGGAGTTGTCACTTTGATATCTCACCCAATACCACACACACTCACACATTCACACATGCACACATTGTCCACAACAAAATTCCTCATATAAGGAGACAATTAGGCCGCCTCATTTTCTCCTAATATCAATCACCCAGCTCATGAATAAAGACAATTAGGTCCTGGCGATTCCATACAATTGTGGCTGGCCTTTGCGCTCTTCCTCGTACGCGCGAGCCATGCCTCTCGGGTGCGCGTCCCTCTCGCTTTCTCATCAGCTGGACGCAGCGTGGGCCTCCCCCAGTCAATAACAGGAGCGAAAACAGGGGAGACAAGAGCCCGGTTTGAGACTAGATCAGATCCTGCGGACGCGTGTCACTCTTCATTAGGGAGGCGGAGAGTAGGGGACGCCCTTAAGGTGAGGACGGCCACAGAGCAGAGGCGATGGCGAGGGGGGGTTGATGTGAGCGGAGTGGTGGGGGGGGGGATGGGGGGAGTGAATGACAGCTGTGGAACAATGACAGGGTCTGTGTCCAAGCGCCCCCCAGGCCAAACACCAGCTCCACTCCTCCATGAACTGATCCACCGCCGCTGGAGCAGAGACAGGAATAGACCAGACACACTCCAACTCTCACACACTGTACTCTAGACTTAGCACTGACAGTGATGTAAAGCGTCCAATCAATGCACCTAATGTCATATTCATAGAAGTGTGATTGGTCCACCTCAGGCATGGGTGGGTCCCTCAACCGCAGCAGCAGCTTGGATAATGTCAGGTATTAATCTTTCATCGCCTCCATTAAATTAAGCACTTTGATTCACGTATTATTAATTTATACTGATTGCTGCAATGTTGGTGTACACGCTGGGAAAGGCTGTTACTAAAGGACACGCTACATCAGGCTTCGCCATTTAAAAAGACACAGATCTTTGCTCGAGTTAGAGGTGAGGAATATGCTTTAAAGTGACATTACAACATTGTACACATTGACTTTTACCTCTTCTGAATTATTCACTGTACTAAGGAATCATTTATAACTACTCTCAAATGATCTCTAAAATTGAAACTGATTTATTTATTACAACATTGGACATTCCGAATTATGTTTTTTTTTTTTTAAGTTTACTATGCTGTAATACATAATACATAATAACATTCTTTGGTCTGATTTTATATTTTGAGCCTAAAGAGCATCATGTTGTGTGTTAAGTAAGAAAGTAGTGGCCACTGATGTTTGGGGCTTGCTTTTGTCAGTGGCCATACATCAAACTAATAACGTTGTGTAAAGAGGACAATGGGAGGTGTGATGGAGGCGGTGTGCTCTGCTGCCACATGTAGGTGGCACACAGTCGCCTTATTAGCCAGGTCAAACATAATCAGTGATAGACACGGCAGGCCTGTTTAATTATGGCTGGCAGCTGGCAGCAGGAGCCTTCCTTTAGGGCCGGGTTATGCCCATGCATGAACCCCTCATGGACCCCGCCCTCCCACCATCACACTGTCCCAAAAGAAGAATAAATCTCACCTCCCTTTTGTTTGGGCTGAAGCATGTGGCAGCCCCGTCATTTAAAACAAGAATAGAAATGTGGACTGAATTTGCGATTAATAGAGGGGAATGGGGCATTAAATTAGTGTAATTGTGAGCTAACAGCAGTTCATGCATATGTGCATGTGTGCTCATCTGTTAGTGTGTGCAAAGGTAATAACATTTGTTCCAGTGCTGACAAAGACTTTGAACAAACTGTCAAACAAACAAAGCACCTGAGCTACTTAAGGGCTTGAGATTTTCCATTTCATAAACCCTGAGCTGACAGCTTGTTTGCAGCATTTGGGATGACACAACAGATGTATTCAGACGCACTCTCCTCCCAACTAGCATCTTGAAAAAGGCACCTCGCCTCATCTCTCCAAACAGCTTGTAAATCTGATCTTAAATGGAAGCAGGCGGCAGGCGACTGTGCCATGCCTTCGCCTGCTGCGTCGCCGCAGAGACACAGCTCTGAAGTTTGGAAGCCACTTGAGGCTGCTGTCATTATCCTGTTCTGGCTTTAAATGTCCATTTATTTGGAAAACTTATTACAGCTGTATTTGTGGAAGCAGCTGTGTGAAAAGCTCTTGTGTGTCCCAAGGCTGTCTGTCTACACACACCCTCGCACATGCAGAGCCCCCAATTCAGTTCTCTCTATATTGATCCACTTCATTCTGCTTCAATGAGATGCAGACAGCACCCCGCGCCCAGAACGCTCATAATCATGATATAACACTGGGAGGTATTGAAACCATGAACCCGCCATGATTCAAATAATGTTATGGCCTGCGTGATGAACAATATGAAAGACATATTTGCATTGTCAGGTGTGCCGTGTAATTAACCATAATTGTGTTTATGATGTGATGTCTTCTTGTGCAAAGCCGCAACCCGTTTTATTTAGTCTCCATCAGTTTTTTACATTCTGCAGCAGGTGAAAAAGCAGTAGACGCTTTCCAGGACCTTGGACAGCGCTCTATTCAAACTCAAGGACCGTCAATGCTGTATTTGTGTGTGTGTGGGTGTGTGTGTGTTTGTGTGTTTGTCAACCTATGGCTTTGTGCTAGTCTTGGAACTGAACTTAAATCCACTTTTCTCCTGCTCTCTTTTGCTTCCAGCGTCCCCCCCCTTCCCCCGAAACAACCCGGTGTAGTCATGGAAACTACTCCAATCGATCCGGTGCCATCTAATACCAATCTTTGTTCAAACCAAAACTTAAACAATGAGAAGGCGAGGAGGTGCACGGGTTGTTCTGTGAGTCCACTAGTGTCGCACTGGAACACCCAGATAAGCTTTACTACTACAGGGAGTGAGCTCTATAAAAAGTGTAAGATAAAACATATTATCCTTGATATTGTATCATTTTTATAAGTAAAAAGTATGTATTTTACAAGCATACATTGTGTTGTATCACAGCACATTGTTTGGGCTGGACTAGTGCGTGTCTCGGAGCCTGTGGGGTTTATGTGAGGAGGGAAGTGTCATGTTAACTTTATGTCAACAGTCGCTGGTCCGAGTTCAGAGAGTATGTGAAATATCACCACAGCTTTGTATTTAGACGGTTTCTTTGGCTTGGTGTTGGTTGAAATATTTAATCTGATGTTTATTAACGGATGATATCATCTAAGTAAATCAAGGGAGAAGGGAGTGTTTTTAATAAAATGGAACAAGGGAAGAAGAAATGCTAGAAGGAGTGAATGAAGAGAAAGCTTATTACCGGAAAACAGATGGCCCCCAATTCACAGAGGCCCCTGTGGGACCTGGAGGGACGACTTTTTGCACCTCCGGGTTACCAGCGCTGCCGAGAGGGTGGAGTCCTTAAACACCACTCTGTGTGTGTGCACTTTTGTTTGTTAACTTGTAAACAAAAGGCAAATTTGTGACATATTTGGCAATGTGCCATTCCTTGCGTACACGGTTCCCTGGGGCTCATGCTTTTAGACAATTTGATTTAAATGGTTTGTTACAAGTATAAAATTAAAAGAGCCTCTCTGGAAAATATCCTACAGAAGTGCTTGAAACCAAAAAGCAGAATAATACGGTTATAACGGCCCAACATCATCAAAGCCATCACTCATCATCATGTCTGGATGAGCTAATGTCATAACATCCGTAAAATGAGATCTCACACGTGCTCGAACATTCACACCCTTCATTTTCTGTGTGCATATGCAACTATACGAGTGGACACACTCGCACATGACAGCCACTGAGTGGAAATGAAGGATTTGGAGTTCCATCCCGTTACATTATGCAGCAGATGGCGTTCAGGCCAAGCCCGGCCAGGCCGCTCCCAGGAGAGAAGGAGTGAGAGAGAGAGAGGGAAGGAGAGAAGATGGGGGAGGTGAGGGACAAAGCTGTTGTGTTTTTTCTTTGCATTAAAGCACATGTTTGTTTTCTGTGTATTTTTGATAGACTCCCACTTGGTTGGCTTATGGGACAAAGTCCTCCCTTCCTCTTACGGCCTCTCTCTTCTCCACTCTCCTCCCCTTCCACCCAGCTGAGGCTACACCTGAGCCCAGCTGCGAAGCCCCCGACCCCAGCTGACCTGGCACCCCGCTCAGCAAAGACAAGGAAGAAGGTGAGAAAGAGAATATTACTCCAAAGTTGAAAGGGCAGGTGTAATGGATGCCTCGTCTTTCATATAATAAACTGCCTTTTTATATTGCGCTTGCATGAACACTGCTATATGCTACACTGGTGTTTATCTCTTTACTTGGTAATAATAATGAAAATAAACAACAAATCTGCACACCTATTTTACTGATTGTGTTAAATATTGCTTGAATAAATACAGAGACAATGTACTGTTATCAGTGAAAGTAAGATCATTTGAACACATAGGTGAGGTAGTATGTTTGTTGACATGTCCGTGTGTCCACACATTGCTGCTGATCAAATGCCACAATCAATACACACACACTCTCTTCCAGACTCCAATACAAAGCAGCCTGTTAAGACCCCCAGATCTTTGCCCCTGGCGCTTTTTGTTTTGTGTTTTCTGAATTAATTGAGCTGAACACAAGTGTAGGGCCAGATGTCACTGCGACCTGTGGGGATTATTAGAAATCTGTTTCCCTCATTGTTTATGTGAACCCCTTCAGACCACAGCGCCCAACAGTCTTTACACTGAAGTTTCACAGAGAGGCCAGCCTCAAACCAGATTGCTAATGCACAAAATAACAGTCTCCAAGTCCAAGCATGGACAGCGAGTGGCCCTGGACATGTGGGACTTTCTGTACCACCTCCAATGTCCATGTCCTGTGCCCAGTGGCGTCTAGGGGCCCATGATGCCCTCCTAGTTTGGCCTGAACACTACGATGCTCCTTGGCAGTGCTGAGGGCCTAATGAACTCATCAGCCAGCTGGAGGCCTGGATGGAGGGGCTGGGGCCACTTGGGGGTTCAGGGGAACAGGGGGAGAAAGAAGGGCAGTGGACTGAGAAGAGTTTCAGATATATGAAAGCCTCCACACACCACCACTACAAGGTAAATGAGGCAGGTGCAGCTTTGGAGGGGGCAAGAGGCCAGGACAGACCCAGCAGAAGAGGTATGAGTGGGAAATGTACTGTAGGTCTGGACTGAGGATGAGTTTAGAGTTGACCAAACAGTATTCTTAATAGATAGATAAATACTTTATTGATCCCCGTAGAATTTCAGGTGTCCAGCAGCAGCTTACAAACACAACACTTAAAAAGATCATTCTAAAAGTAGCTAACACTAGTATTAAACTGCAACAGCACTTTAGGTCACTGCAGCAGAGATGGAGGAGCCGCTGGGTGGGGCAGGACGGGTCACTGCAGCATCTGTCAACTCAGAAACAAATCTTTTACATTTTTACTGGGTGTTTCGCCTTTTTGTCGAGAAAAAATATGAAAAAAAGAAAGATAATGCCGAAAACTATGGAGCTGAAGAAAATGACAAAAGATGCAGATGTCTGGGATTGTGTCTCACCAGTTTTGCAACACTCACATGGTTTTATATCCAGGCAAAAAATATGGAAGCTTCCAACAGATAAGTTTGCTTTGACTGTATTGACTTCTGCAACAGCTCAGTTTTTACCTAATTTCACAAAAAGTCTTTTAAAAAATCCATTTTACCTTTTTCTCCAAGAAACAACAGATTCACTGATTTTTTAAATGAGAGCTTGAATGAAGTCGTTTTTATCTTTTCTCCTCACCGCTCCTCTTTCTCCTCTCTCTCTCCTCTCTCTTCTCTCTCTCTTTCTCCTCTCTCTTTCTCCTCTCTCTCTTTCTCCTCTCTCTTTCTCCTCTCTTCTCTCTCCTCTCTCTTTCTCCTCTCTCTCCTCTCCCTTTCTCCTCTCTCCTCTTTCTCCTCTCCCTCTCTCCTCTCTTCTCTCTCCTCTCTCTTCTCTCTCCTATCTCTTTCTTCTCTCTCCTCTCTCTTCTCTCTCCTCTCTCTTTCTTCTCTCTCCTCTCTCTCTTCTCTCTCCTCTCTCTTTCTTCTCTCTCTTCTCTCTTCTCTCTCCTCTCTCTTTCTCCTCTCCCTCTCTCCTCTCTTCTCTCTCCTCTCTCTTCTCTCTCCTATCTCTTTCTTCTCTCTCCTCTCTCTTCTCTCTTCTCTCTCCTCTCTCTTTCTTCTCTCTCCTCTCTTCTCTCTCCTCTCTCTTTCTTCTCTCTCTCTCTCTCTTCTCTCTCCTCTCTCTTTCTCCTCTCTCCTCTCCCTTTCTCCTCTCTCTGCTCTCTCTTACGTATCTGTCCTCTTTCCGTATTATCTCCTCTCTCTTTCACCTCTTTCCTCTCTCTCCTCTCTCTCTCTCGCTGAAGTCATCACGCTGTCAGCCTCATCAGAAACCTACTGGTCCCCTTTACAATCGTCCCGACTCCTGGCCCTCGCTGATCAGTCTTTCTCCCTGAGAGCCAAGCAGAGGGAGAAAGTGAGCACCTCTGTGTGTCCATATGCGTCTGGGTGGCGGTGAGCATGCTGGGACGTCCTGCTGGGAGGACAGATGGCGCCGGGGCCTGCCATGACAGCGCTGACGATGGCCACATTCTCACATGGGACTCCTGGTTCTCGGAGTCCCACGCCTCCTGTTCAGGCCTGCACCAACAGCCCCTCTGTGAGCACACACACATGCAACATTTCCCATTCATATGAAACCACCTTCTTCCAGCGTGTCTAAAATGATGGTACTGTCGGGATCATTCTATTTAAAGTAAAGTAATTCTTTCCATGTTCTTGACGACCATTGTACAGAGCTTAAGGTTCTGGATGTTTAATGTCATAGGTTTGCTGCACGATGGACATGCATTTCAGAGCATAAGCAGGAAATAGTAAAATAGTGCGCTAAGTATCTGCGACCATACCTCCATTTTAATTTTATTGTGAATTTACAATGTATCTTGCGTTGCTAATAGGTGCAACAAGTAGTACTTTATACTAGAAATGTATTCAAGTTGATGGATAATCCAGAAGGGACTACATGGTTATCAAAGAGACACGAGAACTGTAAAGTGACTCCAGCAGTGTCTAATGTCAGTGTGGGATTAACGCTGAGGTCCAGTCTCTGTCACAATAACACAAAAACACATGAACAGGCCTGTGCTCACGCTGCCCTCACAGTTAATGATACTTTTGTCGCAAGAAGTTAAATGATCAGTTGCCACACGCTCCTCAGACAGAATGGCCTGGTTTGACTCTCCATCTTCATTTCCACCTGCTTGTATTTGTCTCCTCCATGTTTGTTCTTCTCTGTCTGTGGCCCCTAATTCTTTTCTTTGTCGCAGGTGCCCCCCGTGGCTCGCGGTCCACCTCAGAGGAGCTTCATACGTCTCCTGACAAGGTGACTAATCCTTTCCATTTCACAGCTCCATCCCACTGCTCCCTGGGAATGTTCCGACCCGAGTGGATGCGCCGCTGTTGTCAAGTGTGATGGGAGACAGGTGGGTGAGGCATCACCGCAGTTCAAGGTGTTTTTTTGTTATAACAAGACTTTAGATACAGCCTCTTCCAGTTGGACTCGCTGATTAAAAATAACATTACCACACACTACACAAGCTACATACAGTGAAGTTTACCTTTGTCGTTTATTTTCCTCTCACTGTCTGAATCATACTTGACTTTGCAGAGAATACTTTAATATTACCTGTCTCCATATTGTGGCATTGAGCCAATAGAAAATAAATAATGTATGCCTTGTTACACATTACAGTTTCTACTGTGGATGAGAGCAGAAACTTCCATTAATGGGTAATTCAGATCTGCTCCTTTATCTAAAAGTTTTATTTTCGCAGATACTGGAGTCTCAGCTGGAGCTTAGAAATAAACCCGACAAAGTAATATCATAACCATAAATCACTGTTCACTATGACTCACAATGACTGAATAATTGCAGGAATGAGAGTGAAAGGACAGTTTGCCACAAAAGCCCTCTAGGCTTTAGCATCCAAAATGTTGCAAAATATGTATTGTTATCAAGCAAGACATTTGTGTGTGTTGTGTCTCATTGGAAAACTTTGATAAGCTTTTAGCCTGGCACCCCATAAATGGGGTGAAAATGGCAAGAACATTGGGGTGTTTGAGATCTGAAACTGATAAATACTCATTACTGCAATCCCGTCACGACCCTAATGCATATTCATTATTCTGACACTACAAAGAGAAAATAATGACATTATGTACAGGACTCAAGCACGATGTCTGTGAGTGTGAAAGGTTTATTACGGGAAATGGCATGACTAAACCAAACGTCATCCTTGGAGTAATGGACCATCCTGGTGACTGCATCACTCTTCTCTGTCTCCAGAGTCTCTGCATCAGCTGCGGGAAGTCACTGCAGCAGGCACAAACAAAACCGCCTCAGAGGGGTCCTTCATGTCTTTGGCCCAGAGCCGAATCATGGAGGGGTCCGGGCAGAGAGGATGACGAATACAAACCTCAGCTCTCTGTCTTTGGTGCAATTAGAGGTAGTGTGTGTTCTTTGTTGTATGTTGTGTGTGGTGTGGGGGTCCAGCTGTCAGAAGGCCTCTGTCTCGTGCCCCTGACATGTCTCTGATACGCCCCGCTGTGAGTCCCTGAGTGTCACACACTTTGCCTGGACACGGTCAGAGCCCAAGGCAAGCTGTCCCTCACTTCGCACACACTACATGAAGCAGTGCGAACTACACACTTCCGTGTACACACTGCATTAGGTCTGGTTCAGGCCTTCTGGCAGCAGGCTTGTCTCTCTCACTGTCTGTGGCCGTGGCTGTGGGCCACAGACAGTCATCCATGGTTCCTCTTATTGTTTTAATCACCTCGTTAGGCGCAGCTAGTCGCCACTTACTGGCCATGGCCAGGGCCTCTCCTCTGGATACATGCCCCTGCAACCCCGAGCTGGTGGTGCCACCACCAGACAAAGATACATGATGGAGGAGAAGTTAACTGAAGGAACAAGAAGAATATGGATTCTCGGATCAGGTCTAAAATGTCAAATATGAAGATCCCCAAACCATGATGGCTTGTTTCTGTTGTTTTTAATAGTCAATGTAAATGTTCTGATTATATTGATATCATTATTATTGTTATTATTATTAATAAACAAAATTTAGGATTGTTACACATTTCACAGTTTAAAAATAACCAACAGGCATTTACATGTTCATTAACAATCCAAAATATGATTCAATATTACACTGAGTTTCCCCAGGAACAGTTCAACAATATCATGCACAGACACGCGGAGGTGTAAGGCTGACGCTGATAGAGTTAAATGTATATGATAGTGGTCCTAATGGGATTTATTTGTGTTGTGCACATGATACATAAGATCTGTTGACCTTTGATGTGTTTTAATCCGAGGTTTAAATTCTAATAATCCCTGCTTGTGCGCGTATACAAGATCTCCATCTTTAAATCATTATGTTCACTTAAACACAAACGTGCGCGATCTCACACTTTGCTTCCATCCTTTATCGTGCGCACACATCTCCGCCTTCCCGTTGCCCACTGCTCCCACGGGAGCGAGAGTGCTTCAGGGCTGAGGAGAGAGAGAGAGAGAGCGAGAGAGAGAGAGAGAGAGGGAGAGAGGGAGGGGCGGCGTTAGACAATACCATTCCTCAAATATATTCCGACCCTGAAGTGAGCCTTTATTAGTGGGGCTCGTCCGGATCTTATCTCGCACATGACACCGGGAAAGCAGATAATCCAGAGCCTCCGACACGCACGCGCCTCGCTCCGGAGAGCTCTGTTCAAGCCCCTCATGGACCGTGGACCGTGCACTTTCCTCGCTCTCTGCACATCTGCACTATTGTCTGTGCAGCTCTAGGACGCTCCGTGAGTGGGTTATCTCCTCATCTCTGTGCGGACTGAACACTCTGCTCTGGGACTCTGCTCCAGCCCTGCCCCATGGTGCCACAGAGCCGAAGTCCTCCAACTGTCTCCAAACTAAACTCAACATTACGCGCTGTGTCTGGCTTCCGTACAACCAGCTCCAAACTCACTTTTTCGGAGGGATATGAGTTAAATTCAACTCTGAAGTTCGTACCAAGACCTGTCATAGGAGATATCTTTAAGGTAAGTTCGTTCATTTCAAATTCCTTCTATCTTTACAAAAAAACGATAGGCCTGTGTATTATTAATAAAATCTGAATCTATTATTAGTTACATCAAATATCGACAGCATGCATATCAGAGTGTTCTTCTGTCATGTTAGTGTGGCCTTGGCCAAGCAGATGTGTTCATCACTGTGACAGATGGCCTGCTCTGATTATGGTAATTCCAAAAAGGAGAACTGTGCCATTACGGTCAAAACTAGTTTACGTTTAAAAGAAAAACGCGCTGTTATATAATTTGCATAAGGTTATAGAGGTTTGTCCCAATAAGCATTCTGGAAGCTTAAAAACTTATATTATTGTTAGAATTACTATTTTGTTTTTACAATAACAAATGCGTAACTTTGTAACGCGTGTGCATCTGTGCCATAGGTTCTTTGGAGAAGCGAGTTCCAGAGCGAGGCCAAAATGATGCTGAGCCCGGACCAGGCGGAGGCGGACCTGTCATGGACACAGTCTGACCCCGAGTCGTTGCTCAATAGCCTCAAGTCTGCGGGTTGCACGTCGGACGATCACGTGGAAAGTGACGAGAAGAGATGCAAAGCTGACCCTCCGCTGAGCCGCGAAGAGAAGCGCAGGAGGCGGCGAGCCACGGCCAAGTACCGCTCTGCCCACGCCACCAGAGAGAGGATCCGTGTGGAGGCGTTCAACGTGGCCTTTGCTGAACTGAGGAAATTACTGCCCACCTTGCCCCCGGACAAGAAACTCTCTAAGATTGAGATTCTCAGACTGGCTATTTGTTACATCTCGTATCTGAATCACGTGTTGGATGTTTAGGCTGCCCGTGATTGACACACCGCGCGTCAGGGCTGGGAAAGGCCGGTAAAAGAACAACACTAAAATCCAGTGTTTGAGCTGCTGGACCTCCTGTCTGTGCTTGATCACATTGGCACATTTTGATATGGCAGCTTTTAGGAAATTAAAAGGCAATGAATTCGTTCCAAAACACAAGATAATCAAAGTAAATTCATATTTTGTTGCGTTACAGAATGTATGTTATTGTAGTCTAGATGTTGAATTTGCTGTCGGCACAGGTTTGCAGGGGGCCAGCATCTGAGGGTTCCACCTGTAGACTCTGCTGCTGCCATTCACCTGAAAAAAGACACTTTGAGAGATGCTCCTGCGGGGAGTCTGTGCGCTTTAGTGTCACAAAGGAAAGAGGCGATTGTCACGGCTGCAGAAGTTGGCCTCGCGTTGACAGCTTCAACTTGGAGTCCTGGCTTCTCTCTGAACAAACGCCCAAAGCCACAAGTCGTTTGAGCTGTGGATGCAATAACAAAAACGTAGCCTAATAAAATAACATTTAAATGCCTTTGAAATTTGACATTTGATTAGATGTGTTTATGCCTATGTGTGATGAAGACCTCACTTTTCTGTTTTTAAATATAATTTCACTAAACAGCAGGGCATGATTCCCTGGGGAACGTGCACAAAAAGGCTGAATTAGCTGCTTAAGAACTACTTTAGTAACGGAGGAAAAAATACGGAGAAAGTGCCACTTATGACATATAAAATTGTGACCTTAATCATGTCTCAAAAATGTATAGAATTATTTATTTAACTGTCTTTATATTTAAACTAATTTATTTATTTATGTTTGTGTTGTGGTGTCTTTTGTAGCTTATAAAGTGATTATTTCTATTGTTTGTCGCTTCTATATTTTGCATTTTATAGCTGTGAAATTGACCTTGAAAGTGATTGTGTTTCCAAATGCACTTTTTGTTTTCATGGGTTAAAACATACGTTGTTTCTTTATGCATTTTGTCCTTATGTCTTGTTTGTTGTCATGAACGATAAGCACTTGCAGGATGGTGTGTATTGACGCCATAATCATAATGTTTATCTCCATATACATTTGGAACTGTTCTGTTGTCCTAAACACAATTCGATGTCACACAATTGTCATGGATCAGAACAGAGCGGAACTGAACCTACGAACACGAGCAGCACCTCTTCACGGTGTGACCAAAAATGTATCTTTAAAGTTAGTCTAATCTCTCTGGAACTATATTATGTGGTTTTGATTCCTTGCGTGATAATTTAGTGTCATAAAACCCAATACGTCATTTTCTAGTAAAGAAAACATATCCTCTATCCAAAGATTTTGTGTGTCTTCAGGGTTGTGTAGGCTGTTGTTGCTTTATGCAAATCTTTTGTAGTAGAGGTGTGTGTGACAGCTGGTTTCTATATTGAACAAACTTTTCATATATGCCGGTGTTATTTTTCATTAAAACAGAAGGAACATGTGGAAAAACATCTTGTGTGTGCGTGTGCTTGTTTGCTTGAAAATATTAACATAATTCCAAATCACCAGATTCAGCTGGATGTCAAAATCGCGTGATGACGTCAAACGCGCGTGACCCTGCAATTAAAAATAGTGCGCGCTCACAGGCCTATAGATTACGCACATTTCTGAGACTTGGACGTAGTCAGTGCAGTACACGCACGCAGTGGTCAGCAGCCTAAAGGCAGTGGTAGCCTACATGTGTGCTCCTGGCTGAAAGGCTCGCTCCTTCCCCAGAGAGGGGGCAGGTGTTACTCCAGACGAGCCAAGACAACCAAATTACTGGCCGTCTGGCACCTCCCGTGGGAAAGCCGGGCAGAGAGGAGAGATGGGAGCGATGGAAATTTATGAGCGAGCAAGCACTGAGATGTAATATTGCCAAATGGTACGAGAAAAACATCCAAATATTTATATTAATTTGCAATATAGAGCTATAGCACTGGCCATTGATTGTGTCGAAGGGGGTTTTGTGGATTTGATGCGTTATGGTTTTTTCGTCCAAGCTAGTGGATTATCATGAGTGAAGCTTTTAGGCCTGGGTGGCCCCACAGGGAATCAGGCCCTTCACCTCTGAATGGTCATAAGCTGTCCAGAGAGAAGCAACAGTGTGCTGTGTCATATCCATTTATCCCTTTTGGACTAGCGTTCTCAATTATACTGTATGACCTTTTTCACTCTTCCATGCGTCCATATCCCTAAAGTCACAAGTTTTAATTTCACGAATTGCAGTTTGAAATTTTGCTTTTCTTAAAGTTTTGTGGCAACTAAGCGTTTGCCTAATACGGAAACCAAAACAGAAATAATGCCAAACACAATTTTGAAACATTAAATGAATGCCCGATAATTGCTCCATTTTCATTGGAACATGGCATTGGTCAAACCTGACTGGTGCAATTGTTCAACATGACATGATTTTGCACAAAATCCAAAACACCAATTTGTCGCATCAACAGATTGTCCACTTTCAAAAACACAAAACAAATTCTACATTTCTGGCAGTGCGCGTGCAGAGACAGACTTCTGCCTGAGCTTATTGAATAGAGCAGTCCATCTGTACGACGCCACGAAGCACAAGGCCATTTGTGCATCTCATCCCAAAGCTTCCGTAGAATCAGTCCTCTTCAATTTATTCTTTTGAAAGCCCAGAAGGGTCCAGGGGAGAGCGGAGGAGTGACAGGCAGAGCGCACAGTGCTGTGGGGCAGTGGACAGGCCCGTGCGTGTCTGACTATACACCCTCTTATGGCTTATGTAAGTGCGCAGGCCTCTGAGTGTGTGGCCATATGTCACGGAGGTGTACGGAGACAGCAGGCCCATTATCAGGACTTGGACATCCCATCTCCTCATCGCCATTCAGGTAGAAGCCAGGAGCGCGCACCCAGCTCCTCACATGAGAGGCCTGTAGAAATTGGGCTGGGATCTCGAGTATGACAACAAACTGCCATATGTTCACAGTGCGCGCAACAACATTTGGGCTTTTTGTGATTTCTCCTCCACCTCGTTGCTTGTATTAAGGTTCAAGGCGAGAACTCCCCCACGTCAATATCGCAAGCCCACTCACGCCCCCATCCCGTGCACCTCCTTCCCTCCCAATTTTGTTGAGGTGCGCTGCGTAAGAGTGCCCGTGCCCAAGTACAAAAAAAAATCCCTGATCCATGTGTTGAAATGCAGCCCCCGGGATGGGACGCATTATTCCTGCCTACTTCACCAGCAGGGTCCTACGCTGGGGGTTCAGGGCTGGCTCGTGGCCCCTTTGTCTCCAAACAGATGGATATGGGCGAGAGGAGAAGGGAGAAGTGGGGAGAGAGAGAGAGGGGAGCGGAGCAGGGGAGGAGTGGCATGAATGAAGGGGGGAGAGGGGGTGATGCTGGAGTCAGTCTGTTGTCATTAAGTGCTGTATTGAAGACCATATCCCCCCACAATGCGTCAGCAGCAGTGGATGGTCCCCCTCTCATTCAGAAGCACGCCTGTACCATCTGTACCCAGACTGAGGGCCCGTCCTGAGGTGTGTGCGCATGCATTAGGCCCGGCCTCCAATCTGGACAGCCAAAATGCTCATATTCATTGGGCTTTCCATTTGATTAAGATCTTTGGAAATCTAAATGTTGGGCTTTTGTAGTGAAGGCTGTGAATCCTTTTTGAGCCAACAGATTTATAATGAGGCTATACCGAGTTATAAAGGCTGTATTTTAGCAGTTTAAACTTTATGCAATTAGATAAAGCCTATTCATTAACCCCACATTTAAAACCTATTATGGAAAGTATTTATTCTCCTACACAGTGGGCACTTGAACAAGGACATCAAACTGCACGTATCACATTTTTTCATTAGAAAATAAGGTCTTTTACATCAAACTCATAATGGGGTCCGTGTCCGTGCATTTTTCAGTCTTTTTTAAAAGCATTTCAAAACTGTCATCGCATTTGAGGTTCTTGAACTTTAATCATGTACGCACTTTAGAGCTAATTTCATGAATGAACCCGATATCTCTCTCTTTCTACCTCAGGGCAAGGGCATGCATGCTATATTTTAGGACATAAGTTACCTTAAGTCCTAAAATATATTTATAGAAAATGTCAGTTTGTAATGTTCACTCTTTGAAGAAAGCATTGCATATTTTTCTTTTTTTGATTTTCTAAGATGTAGGAGCACTAAGAAGGGTTTTGTGTTGTTTTTTAGCCTCAAGTTTATTTGATTTAATATAGGCCTTTACCAAATGGTTGAGATTCTGTTTGATGGTATAGAACCAAGTGATGGAGATGCAACAATGAGGCAGACTTCAGTTCCAAACTTCAAGTAGATAATAAAAAACAAAGTGATCCACCAAATGGTTGAGGAAACCATTAACGGAATTAAACCAGTGTTTGATTTGTTCACAGAACTTTTGAACATTGGATTTCCATGTGATCTGCGGAGCACCTGCCGCTGCTCTGCCTCAGAAGTGTGGTCCATAAACAATCTCTTTCCGCTTCGTCTTCATTTTTACACGCTTTCATTTTCCGCCTCTATTTACCAAAAAAATCCTGCTTAACTCATAAACTCCGTGTCTTAGGGGAAGGATCCATCCATCTTCCGGACACCAAATTGAATTGATCTCAGGGGCCCCGCATCGCTGTCTCAATAGGGGCCATCTGCGCGCGCTTCCCCACTTTGAATAAACCTGAAAAATTGACAGCACGTGCTGCCGCTGTCACAGAACACGCGTGGCCCACAGACACGCACACAGGACACACACACAAGACACGCGTGGACCACAGACACGCACACAGGACACGCGTGGCCCACAGACACGCACACAGGACACGCGTGGCCCACAGACACGCACACAGGACCACGCGTGGCCCACAGACACGCACACAGGACACCCTCTCCTCCCCTCTCCTCCCTGCTCCTCCCCCACACAGCTGTGTGTGATGTGATTTAGCCTGTTCTCGCAGCTGATGGGTTCACACACTCAGCGGAGAGGGCTTTTCCTAATTTCACTCACAATTTGA